TAAATCCTAAGGCATCCCGGAACCTACTAGAAACTCACCCGAGCCCTCGAAATTCTAAACCAAGTATGCACACTACTTCCAAAATACCCTACGAACATATTCGTGTGATCACATCACCAATATAACATCATGAACATCGAATTGAGTCTCAAGATCCAAGAAATTTCTCAGATTTCCTTTTAAACATCAATTTTCCCAATTTGGGTCCGGATCACGTCCAACAACGTCCGTTTTTTACCAAACTTTACAGGAGTGATTCAAAACATATATAAGACTCGTACTGAGCGCCGGAACCAAAATACTGGCCTGATACCATTGCTTTCTAATCAGATTTCATTTCCATTTTCTTTAAACATTTTCAGAGAACAATTTCACTTAAAAAAATTCATAACTCGAGCTTGGGACCTCGGAATTCGATTCCGGGCATACGCCCACGTCCCATATTTTCCTACGGACCTTCCGGGACCGTCAAATCACGGGTCCGGGTCCGTTTACCCAAAATATTGACGGAGTCAAACTTATTCATTTCGAGGTCAAAACTTAGCAATTTTTACAACATTTCACATTTAAGCTTTTCAGCTACGCGCCCGGACTGCGCACATAAATCGAGGCGACTCTAAATGAGGTTTTCAGGGCCTCGAAAACATAGATTTCAATCACAATTGTTGATGTCAGTGTGCATCACTATATATTATTATATTTTATGTCGCTCTGTTTATTGATGGAAAAGTTTATATCCTTGTCGTATGTACTGTCTAGTATGCATCAACAACAACTGCGATTGGTGTTTTAAGTCTTCAAGTTTGAAAAAAACAAGCTTTTCAAGGTCAGAAATTTCAGCAAGCTACATTGATGCTCACTGAAAGACAGATCTTATACACAATGTCAAGCTACTGCAAAACTCATCGGCAATCTTCTGATAGACAAGTATAAAGACCCAAAAATAATACACTCATAATTACATAATTGGAGACATGAACAAACAGTATGGTCTTCAAATGACTTATATGCGAACATGGAGATCGAAGGAATTTGTAGTTCAACTACTGAGAAGGAACCCTAGCGAATCATATGAAAAGTTTCCAAGCTATTTTTATATGCTGGTTTTTACAAATCCTATGTTGGTGGTAAGTTTGAAAAAAACAGGGAAGATCTGTTCATTTATGCTTTCGTTGCACCATACCCGTCTATAAAAGGATGGCAGTATTACAAACCGTCGTTGTCGATGGAACCTTTCCTAAATCGACATACAAAGGAATATTATTGATAACATCTACACAAGTGTGTGTATATATATATATATACACACACACACACACACATACACTTACATATGTTTATATGATTCAATTTATTAGGTAGTATCCTACCACTCACATATGTCATTATAGATTCAGAGAATAATGCTTTCTGGAAGTGGTTTTTAGTGAGGTTCAAGGATGCATTTGGGGAAGGGAGGGAATGTGCATAGTCTCAGACAGACATAAAGGCATAGAAAATGAAGCGGCAACATTGTATCCACAAGTACCTCACTATGTCTGCATATGGTATCTACAGAATAATATAAAAAAAAATATAAGAAGAACCATTTGCAGCTCAAAGACATATTCTTTGCTATGGCCAAAACATACACAGTTGAGAAGTTTGATTACCATATGGCAGAGGTAGAGATAATTGATAAGAGGGTCAAAGATTATTTAATCAACGTTGGGTATGCAAGATGGTCCAAAGCATATTTCACTATCAACAGAACATTGACAATGACTTCAAACATTGGGGAGTCGATCAATACAACTCTCAAGGCTGCTAGGGAACTCCCAGTATCGTCTTTGCTGGAGTACATAAGGCAATTGATCGGACGATGGAATGTTATAAACCAAAAGAAAGCAATAGAGTCATTTACTGATTTTGGAAAAAAATATGATACAATGCTGATGGACAATCTCGAACTGTCACATCAGATGAAGGTATGACTAGAATCTGTAGATACTTGTGCATATAATATGTAATCATGCCGAATTCACGGATCTGTTATATCTTGAACTCTTTATGTGAGTCTGTTAAACTAGTGTCCACCTACACGACACATGGAGACCAAATTGATTAAGGCTAACGTTTTCTAATTTTCATTGTTTGCACAAAAGCAATATTATAGTGTTCAAGTAATGGTGTAAGCAATATTGTAGGTGACCGCTTCGACGAGTTACTTATATTCAGTACTTGACAAGGGTAAGCAAAGAATGGTGTTCCTAAAAGATCGAACTTGCAGTTGTAGAAAGTTTCAGTTGGATGAGCTGCCATGTGCATATGCTTGGGCAATATTAAAATATAAATACATTGATCACATTGAGTATTGCTCGATGTACTGCACCAGGAAATACCAATTGAAGACCTATGAAATTTCAATTTATCTAGTTCCTGATGAAATTAAGCACATGGAAAATTCCTGCAGAAGTTCTAGATGAAAAAGTCTTGCCACCATACATGACTAAATCAACAGGAAGGCCAAGGAAGGGGAAATGCAAGCCAATATCTGAAAGGGAACGAAAAATGTCGATTTCATGTGGACATTGTGGAGAAGTAGGTCATAACAGGAAAACTTATAGAAATAATCCAAAGAGAGGATGAAATATGTCAAACTTAGAATTACTTGTTATTTTACTTTACTGAATATCATAGAGATTTAGAAGAATCCAATATATCAAGAACTGTATCAATGCAGAATGTCATTTGAATTTTAGATATAAATAAATATTTGAGCTATCATTTAAAATCGTGTTGCAAGTGTATTTTTTAAAATTATACACATGTTTGATTAAAAAAAAAGTTGTATCATATTTATATCATCTATGTATCTCTTGTGTATCATCTATGTATCTTTGTGTATCAGTAAATTATACATATGTTTGATTAAAAAAGAAGTTGTATCAGCTATGTATCATATTTGTATCATCTATGTATCCCTTGTGTATCACCTATGTATCTTTGTGTGTCGGCTCTTACTCATTTCTGTTTTTGTGTAGTAACAAAGCTAACTAATGAAAAACAGTCGTAGCAGCTAGAAAACTGTGCAAATAGTTTTAGAAATTTGCAAATAAGAGTGTGGCTTCATCAATATATATTTAGAAACCAATCATACTGCAAAACTCATTGTAAAGAAACTAACTATGCAACAATCCAAAACGACTGTATCATCTATGTATCATGTGTGTATCATATCTATATCATGTGTGTATCATGCATGTATCTGGAAGAGAAAGTGTATCACAAACTACCGTATATTTTTTATATCTTGAATTCACAACACAAAATCAAGGGAGAAAATACCAAAATAAACTAAACTGCAACACTCCAATATTGCACTAAAACTCATTAAACCTTTTATAACAGAGCAAACATCTCATTTGTCGTACAAATATTAAAAGTATTCATAAAATTCAAACACAAACAAATCTGATCCGTCTTACAACAATGACAACATAACAGAACACAATACAAAATGAAATTATTGAGTTCATCCTACAACAATGACAAAAGTAACTACTTCTTCCACTTCCGCAACTTATTCTGTCGACCAATAATCTCATCATCATTTTGCGCGTTCAGTTCCATCTTCTTTCTAGAATAATCCCACAAAAGAGCACCAAATCTGCGTCAGCGTACATAAGCATTAAATTTTTTAGGAGGATCTTGCCCTCAATGAAATACTCGGCAAATGATGCCGCAAATATAACGCAATCTCTACAAAAATGAAAAGAATAATAATTATCAAACTGCAAAATCTAAAAACAAAACAGATTGTGTTGAAAGAAATTCATACGCTTCGACTTATTGAGACAGTCCTTCAACCAGTTTTACATCAAAATGGATAATCAAGTCCTTTGATTTGTAAACACCAGTGCGCTAATTGATATCTTTACTGTTTACATAGAAATGCGTGTGTACAAAAAAATGAGGCAGCGACACATAATACTTTCGCAACATTAATTTGCATTAAGACGTGCTCAACAGTGTGCCATGAGACATTGGCATCCAATACATACCCCTGAATATACTCTGCAATGACATGTTCCGGTTTGCATACTTCACTGTCCCCATCTGTATTAATAAACGCCTGCCATAACTCATTAATTTTCTCGTTGAAATATCAATCTGTGGTGGTGAATGTTACAGGTAGGTCTTTGTCATACTTCTCCTTCTTCCTCAGATAATAGAATAAAATATCAATGTGCTAAAACAAAATATAACAAATAATTAATCATTGAAAGCTCGTATAAGTAGCTATGCATTTTCAAACCACATTTACAAAAAACAAAGGAATATGAATGCTCATTAGTTTTCTGGTGCCAGGCAAGATAGCAATTAATAATATGTTCTAACTTAATAGGCTTGATCGCATGTACACTGGCTAACATTAAAAAAAAATGTAAAAGTAACTTCTTAAATACCGACTCATCCAAAGGTTGACTATTATATGCCAAAGTGTAAAATCATTTTTTGTCTTCAACATGATATACACCAAGATCATATACAGGATTGAGTTCACTAATATGGTTTGGGTAAATTTAATTCCTGGTAATAGATATACACAAAAGAGATATAGTGATTTGATACAAAATAATGCTATAAGTGACAATATATTAAAATATTAAACTGAACAAAACTAAGAAGTTGGAAACATACTTCTTTTTAGACTTCCCTTATTTGACCCAAGCAACAAATACATTCAACAAAGAGCTGTTAAGACCAATTCCGATTTTTCTTTGAAAAGGATGCTTAGCAGCACAAATTTACTTTTTTTCATTCACTGCAACAACACAAGTACTGGAACCTGAATCTAATACATTAATGAATGGAGACTGCACGACCTTTGCAGGACATCTCTTTATTTTTTCCATTTGCGGTGAAACTTCAGGAAGTAATTCAGGCTAGTATAAAACAATCTGAGGTTCAGGAACCTCTTTCTCAGAATGTTCCTTCATCTCCCCTGCCGCCTCATCAACACTTGCAGTCACACAAACAACGCTAGTCTGAGATTTGAGAACCTTTTCTTTATCAGATTCTTCCTCCGTCTCTCCTGCCGTCTCATCTGGAGTCTCACCAATAGCGTCAGCATGCGCTACATCTGGTGTGAAAGTTACTTTAGCAACAGACATGTTAACTTTCACAACAGAAGGTTCTTCCATGATATTGACACCTAATTGATTTGCTGCATCGAGCACAATATTGTTACGATGATGCTCACTGGTATCTCCTTGAGAATGTGTAACATCTTTTCCTTTACTTCCACCGGCCTATTTTTTTTTTTAAAAAAAGAATCGAATTATCAAAAACAACAAAGAAAAGAAAAGGGAAAAGTGTAGAATGCATAACTAAACACACCTTACAACCATCCATTTCAAGATCTTCATTGCCACCAAACTCCATATTGCTCACAAAATCATTATTGTCTTGACGACCACTGGTGTCTTCCTATGGATGTACACCATATTTGTCTTCGCTTGCACCAAGCTATTTTAAAAAAAAGGATACAGTAAGTTAACTAAAAAAATAAAATAAAATTCACAATGGAAAAGAAACACATACCTTAAAATTTATCAACTTAAAGACTTCCTTGAATTTATCAAAAACATATTCCATGAAGGACTTTAACTGCATATGGAGCTACAAAATGAAACAAATAAGAAAGATAATAGACTTTGAATATACATTTTTAACAAAACTTTCAAAAAAATAATAATAATATTAAAAACCAATATAAACTTGTTTAACATCAGCTTTCAACTTCTGCAACTCACGGTCATAATCAATAGGTTGGACACCCGGTGCTTGTTTTAGTGGGATAGGCTCCTTAATCTGTTTCGGGGGTGGCGTGACAAATTCATCGTTGTCATCAATAGGAAGTTTTTCCCTGTTACGTGATGTCAAATATTTATGATAGTCATCTTTAACTTCAACAGGCAAAGTAAATCTCCTTAGCTCTTCAGTTGTCGGAGAAATATTGTTAAACTGCAAATGTAACAAAAAGTGCGTCAATTATAGATNTATATATATCCAATACATAAAAGCTGGTATCTTATTCCCTATGCTATTGAAGAAACCAGTAAAGAAGTCCTCACACGTTGACCCGTCTGTCATTTTCAGTTCAATATGCGTGGTGTATGATCTCCAACGCGAACAATAAACTTTTTATCAACTACAGTGCAATATTCATAGAACCACACCTGTAGTGCAAGAGGAAATCCACCAATCCTATAAACTCAAACTTTCCCCTCAACCTGTCTCTCACCGACTTCATTAAAGCTCGAAACGCTATCTTACCCCAGGGAAAGGACACATGTTCGCCACTCTCGACAAGATGGAAATCACGTTTAAATATAAATGTCTTTTGAGCCAGAGTGGACATTAAAAATATGTTTATGAAATAAATAATTGCAATCTTATTTGTGTCTTCATCATACTACCATTTCTTCTTATCAAAACAATCAATAAGCTACTTCTTTGACACCGCTTCAAAACCAGAAAAATAAGTATCCACCAACCTATTGGATCCACTGAAGTTACCCTCAACATGTTCATTGCCACAAAAGTTTAAACCACTTACAGCACCAAATTCCCGAAGACCAAAACGTAAAACACATTTGTCATTCAATTTCACATAAAATTGTGTCATGACCCTAAATCCGAACCCGATCGTGATGATGCCTCTTATGAAGACAAGGCCAACCGACACTTCCCATATCCAATTATTAACAGTTAAAACATAAGAAATAAATCTAAATCATGATAAGATAATCCAAAGTTAACAGATAATAGCATAATTCGCGAAAAATAACCCAACACAGCCCGATACCGGGGTGTCACTAGTCATGAGCATCTAGCAAAACGGAATACTCCAAATATAACTAGAAAGTTTAATATAGAAAACTAAGAACATGAAGGACTAAGACAAGGAAGAGCTCTGGTCTGCGAACACCAACAACTACCTAGAGACTCCTCGGATCTGCTTGAGCCGGAAATGATCAACACTCGGGAGCGGGACCAGATACGCCTGAATCTCCATACAGGGTGTAGGGAGAAAAGTGAGTACTCCAACTCAATAAGCAATAATCATAAATAAAGATTGAAAGCAGGAAATCACGTAAGGCACAAAGCATGCTATAATGAAGCAGTAAATCCATTTGAAACAGTAAACCAGTGAAAGATAGGTAAAATCCTTTAACTCAAAATTAACTTCATGAAAAGCCTTTTTCAACAATTAAGCATGGTAATTGACAGGAATTTAAGAAAAAGATAAACACTTAAAGGTTCGCCCCTCTAGCACAGTATCAACAAATTTGCCCCTCGGGCAACATCTTAGAACAATACCAGCCCCTCGGGCTCAATCTCAGATCACAATGGGTACCCGGGCTCACTGAGGGTGTGCAGACTCCTGGAGGGGCCCCTTACGGCCCAAGCACAATATCAAGACACCTCGTGGCATCATCACTAGGCCCTCGACCTCATATAAATCAAGCCACCTCGTGGCATACATATCTCAGGCCCTTGGCCTCATAATCAGTATCAAATGTTTCATCACAATACAGGCCCTCGGCCTTAGTCAAAATCCTCACAAGCCACTCGGGCAA